AAAACTAGACCTATATCTCTCACCATGCACTAAACTAAAATCGAAACAGATTAAAGATCTAAATATTAAAACAGAAACACTAAACTGGCTGGAACAGAAGCTAGGAAGAACTCTTGAAGACATTGGTATAGGAAAAGATTTTATGAACAAATCCGCAATTGCCCATGAACTAGCACAAACAATCAACAAGTGGGATCTCTTCTTTTTCTTTTTCAATCTGATTTTGTTTTTAATTAAATATTATGGTCACATACAAATTTGTGCTGATGTTGTACCTTCCCCACTTTAATACTTCTAAAGAGCTGACAAAAAGCACCACTGCCAATCACACAAAAATCAGTACTTTCAATCTTGTGTTTTTAAATAGCTGTTTAAATACTACCCTGAATAACTTAGTCCAAAGAATTAAAAACTAAAATCTAACTTGCTATTGTATCATGCTTTTAAAAGGATCTGAACTTATAGATCAACTATAAAAGGTGAGAAGTGTTAAATATTCTTTATTTAGTATTATACATACACCACACTAAAATGCCTTTCAGTAAGTAAAAGGCAGCAGTCTTTAGATACAGGGAATTTTAATTAAACTGGCATAGTCAAGATAAAAAATATAGATGTTCCTTCCTGTTCTTCAACCACTGTCTTTAACAAGCTAATAAACAAATTGAAACAGGAATCTTGCCTGATTGTGAGACAGTGAAGGATTTCCCTGGTATTTAAACATATTCACACAACCAGTTATATGTATAAATCTAAATATAAAACCAACCTCCAGTAGGTTTTGAGAGAACATTCTCCATCTTTGTGAAAATTCGAACATTACTAATCAAGTCCAACCATATTTTTAGAAAGGGAAAACAATGATAGTATTTACTGAACTGGAATTACTATCAAAACTTGAAAAGAAAAGATATCCATTTAACTATAAGCCAATTTTACTTAAATCAGGACTGTCTAACAAAAATATTCTGTCAGCCACTCATGATCTGAATTCTGGTGTATGAGATCTATTAAATTACGGTACACATAAAAAAGCCATGAGACATTTCTGTTCTGTAATAAATAAGGCAGTGACTATTACTCATTAGTAGCTTTTTTTGAGGTAAGCTATTAAGTCTGTCCTTTCTTCCTTCTTCTTAATGCCAGTGAAGATCATTTTTGTTCCAGGGATGTACTTCTTGGGATTCTCCAAGTACTCCATCAATGTATCCTCTCCCCAGATGATGCCTTTGCTCTTGTTGGCATCTGTGTAAGAGAATCCAACAGCTTGACCTGTCTTCTGCCCAAACAGACCATGGAGATTTGGGCCAGGTTGTGCTTGCCTCCCTTCTCCACAGTGTGGCACTGGGCACACTTCAGTACAAAAATCTTCTTGCCTTTCTCAACATCACTCATTTTTAAATCTGCTGCAGCTTCCATGTCCGAGGCTCAGCACTCTTTAGTCATTACCACAGACAAAATCCCAGCTCAGAAGCCAGACGTCCCACTCTCTAAGTGGTATCTCTTCTTATTAAAAAGCTTCTGCACAGTAAAAGAAACCACCAACAGTGTGAAGAGACAACCCACAATGTGGGAAAAAATTTTCACCAGCTGTCCCTCAGACAAAGGTCTACTATCTAGAATCTATAAAGAACTTAAAAAGATCAGACCTCCCAAATTTAAAGACCCAATCCAAAAATGGGCATCTGAAATGAACAGACATTTCTAAGACAAAGAAGGAGAAATAGCAAATAAACATATGAAAAAATTTTCAACATCACTGGTCATTCAAGAGATGCAAATGAAAACAACACTGAGATTCCATCTCACCCCGGAAAGAATGGCTGCCATCATCAAATCAACCAATACCAAATGCTGTCGGGGCTGTGGAGAAAGAGGAACCCTGCTTCACTGCTGGTGGGAGTGCAGACTGGTGCAGCCACTGTGAAAATCAGTATGGAGATACCTCAAAGAACTAGGACTACAGGTCCCATTCAATCCAGCTATTCCCCTGCTGGGTATCTTCCCCAAAGAATTAAAAGTATCATACCACAACAATATATGGGCACCTATGTTTATAGCAGCACAGTTTGTAATAGCTAAAGGTTGGAAACAGCCCAAGTGCCCATCAACTGGAAACTGGATAAAGAAGATGTGCTTTTTTAATAAAATGGAGTACTACTCAGCCATAAAGAATGAAAAATTAGAGACATTTATAGCTAAATGGATGCACATTGAGACAATACTCTTAAGTGAAATAAATAGGACCCATATGTGTAAATACCGAATAGTTTCTCTAGTGTGAGAAACTGAAAGTGTAAATAAGGACTAAAAGGTATAATAGATAATGAGAAATAGGAAAGAAAGGGGCAAAAGGGAAGGGGAAATGGGAGGGATAGGGGAAAGGAAAGAAGGGAGTGGAATTAATATGAGAAAATGAAAAAATGGAAACAAAGTCTTTGTAGATAGGGAGGGGTGGAGGGGTTGAAGGGAGGGCAGGGAATTGGGAAAAAATAAGAATCAAGATAGATTATGTAAAGGTGCAAATTTCCAATGATGAATGCCATTATATTGTATACCTAAAATGTACCAATATAATTAATTAAAAACACCCAAAAAGCTATACCACAAACACCAAGTTTTATTGCATAAACCTTTTAAAATAAAAACCCTAAGGCTCAGAAAAGTTAAGAATCACACCTAAACTAACACAGCTTAGACATGATTAGAGACAGTTTTTGAACTCAAAACCTCCGTGGCTCTAAAGTCCACCACCATTCACACTGCCTCTGGATCTCTTACTGTGGAGACAGACTCCCACTGACACTGATTTCTCTAAGATCTCCATGTTTTTGTTCCTAAATAATTTTCTGATTGATAGTCCAGTTCCCTTGTGTTACTTTCCTCATTAGTAGGACAAAATGCCCAATATCCACAGCTTAGAGGAGAGGTTTATTTTAGCTCACAATTTCAGCCCATCATCAGCTGCGTTCCAGGCAGAAACAGGATGGCAAAGGGGCATGGTAAAGGAAAAAGTGCTCAGCTTATGGCAGCCAGGAAACAGAGGGAAAAGGGAGCAGCCAGGGACAAGAATAGTCCCTTCCAGGTCACACTCCCAGTGACCTGCCTCCAACCAGGCCCCACCTCCTAACAGCATGTCAGCTGTAGAAGCTCAGGATCCAGTTACCTTCCAAACACATGAGCCATTTGGCAGACATTTTAGATCTAGACCATAACACTTTGTCAGTATATGCTAGAGAGAGAGAGAG